GTGTCGCATGTACAAAGAATGGCTATCCCACAACAGACTACAGAAATTGGGGATCCCAGATTTCAAGAAGCATACTATCACAGAGCAAATTTCTCGAGTATGTATTCCAAGAATGCCCTATATGAACGAACTCACTTTGATTATTGTCTTTCGTTTCAGCTCCTTCGGCGGACCAACCTTCTTTTGCAATTTAATCACATTTGCAGCAATAAAAATAGGCGATGACTCTAAAAGAAAAACGCAAAAATGAGCAATGCCTTAGCAACATGGGACTGGCAAAAGAATGAGGTAGAACGAAAAACGAATGCACGGAAAGGGGATTAATGTAGAATCACCAGCACACTGATTACCGCCTTATGCAGCAGTTTCGGCAGAAAGTTGTGAACTGCTTTGCTAGCCTAAATAGAAGCTAATCGAAGGTTTTTTTTTAAATCGATTATTGCTTTTTATATTCGAAAACGCCCATATCACTAATACTAGCTTGGAAGACTAGGAAAAGGATGGTGTTACTACGGCACAGATACATCAGGCTTTTCTAACCTGAGCCGAACGTCCCTACCAGCACCTACTACATCCCCTCCCTTCGACGAGTACCAAATCCCTTGAGATTGTCTGGATGGCCAATTGATCCTTCGATCGACGATACCTTCACCGATAAATAACACTCATCAGCTGTGAGTAAAATAATTGGCCAACGCACGGGCTGTCCGTGCGCAGATGCTTTTTGTACAGTCCCTCGTAGTTTTTGTTGCTACCGGCACCGGCTTTTTCGGCAAATGCTTCTAGCTAAACAAATTAAGACTGGCCACCAGAACTGTCAGAAGACAACCCCATAAAATCTCAGCTTTCAAGCTTACCTGGCTCCTGAGTTAGCAATTTATTGGAAAAAAATTTTCACGGGCTCGTGAGTGTTTACCACGAATACCCGAGAGTTGGGTTTGAGCTAAATGAAACTTAGGTGGACGGGATATATCCTCTTAAAATTACAGTCTTCTAGCTTCTCAGATCCCCGAGTTATGAACGTACCCGAAAAAAATTTCGGCGCGCTCGTACGCGGGTACCACGCTTACCCCGGGTCTGGGTTTGAACTCACTAATAGTCACTTGAAAGGGAAACATCCCCCTAAGATTCCAGCTTTCTAGCTTCTCAGATCCCCGAGTTATGAACTCACCCGAAAAAAATTTTGGCGGGCTCGTACACGGGTACCACGTGGGTGATAGCGCCCATTTTTGGAATTGGGGCCCGTGCGTGCATGTATATTAAGTTCCCAAAGTTTCAGCCCTGTGGCTTTTGTGGGTCTTGAGATGAAAAACCGTGAGAGATGTCTACACGGACGCACAGACACACACACACACAGACAACCTCTCGTCAATATGAGTTTTCTGCATTGCATATGTGCAAAAAACGCATAAAAACGAAAAACTGCATCCACAGAACATCAAGCTGACTGCTAATGCCACGGTTTTCTAGAAGAGTACCATGAAATACTGAACTCTATAACAGTGAATATTACTCACCAACAGATTTCAACTGTTCGAGCATTCGTGAGCAAGCATTCTGTTTCGCAATCTTCTTGCTACTTCCCTCGCCATCCGCCGAGATTACTTTATCATCCGAGATCAGGCTGCACCGTAGCACATAATGTCTGTCGTGCGCCGGCCCCTCTTCTTTAACAACCTACAAATTTCGCATTCAATCCATCAAATTAAGGAAAAAGCGATGGAGGGCAATGTCGCCCACAAAGTACCGGAAGTAACACACATTTCCGTGAGAAATGTGAGTCCAGGCACTGAAAATGTATGGTTCTAGGTCCGAAAAAAAAGAAATTTTGATTATAAATCCAGAATCAATCTCAAAAACTAGAATGCTAGAAGTTCCATGATCTGCCACAACTTACACCACCACCCGGCAAAAAATAACAAACTACGCTCTATCCTCATCGAGAGAAGTATTCTTATAAACATACGAACTGCCGACTCTTAAAATTCTATAAAAACTAAGGCTGTTGGTAGCCTTCTCATGCCAGGACTGCTTACAAGCTATCAGCCAGTCCACTCTTACTAGCTCAGTCACGCTGCTTTTTCCAAAGTATCGTTTAAAAAAAACATCGTATAACTCATTTCTAATTTACTGATCCTCGCTAGAACCATCGCTTAAAAGAAAAGTTGAAAATTAAATTAATATAAAAACTTACAAGAAATTCAACATTCATACGCATGTATAAAGCACACTCATGTATTTGTGAGATCGATGACTTCGGTTTGCCATGTCGAGTGACTGTAACAACCGATTTGGAAATTTCAGAACCGGCTCCTTGAATCTCGGCTCCCAGCACTAAACAGAACCAAAATATTACAATATCATGCTGCTATTCGCAGTACAAATTCAGCTTACGACTTGTAATTCTCTGCCCTGTTCTAATATTTTTATATTCGATATCGAAAATATCACAAACTGCACATAAGGATTTTGAAAGCTTCAGTGAGCTATGATTCCAGTTCTCTTGCTCCTTTACGCTTACGTTTAACGTGAATCTGTGGATGTGCTACGAAACAACGGCACACGGCCGAAGTAAGTCTCACAGTGGATAAACTGTGCAGCCCTTCCAGTTTCTCTGTTCACACTTAAACTATTGCG